AAGCAAAAACCCGGCAGATATGCTAACGAAGGTGGTGACCATTGACAAACTGAAGTTGTGCTCAACTTCAGTTGGCCTGCTAGGATAACAGACCTGAGAAGACTACTGCAGTAATTGAGGTGTGAGGACAGATTGAAATCAGTCCTCAAGTGGGAGATTGTTGAGTCAAAAAGGGTTGCGCTGCCCATCTCCTTTGACAGCACACCAAAGAAGAAAAAAAAAAAGGGAAAGGAGCAGCCCACAATTCTTGAAGTTTTGCAGCAGCCGGTGGATGATTGGTGTGCAATTCACATTGCATTTCCCCTCTATAAATAGAGGACACCAGACAGAAGCAAGGCACCACAACAAAATACCAAACACAAAAGAAAAACATAAGAGAAGAGAAAGAGAGCGAGCTAAAAAAAAAAAAATAGCTTCTGTGTGTATTTGAGTTGTGAGTTGTGAGTGAGTTTCGAGAGTGTTTTGTAAACACGAGTGTAATTTCTTTTTCCCAATAAAATATCTGCAGTAGTCCGGAGACGTAGGCATTATTGGCCGAACTCCGTTATCAAATTGGTGTGTCCAATTTTTATTTTTTATTTCACTTTTATAGATCCGACTTCATGGAAAATTCAGCGTATTTTTCCCAACATTACAATTTCTTTGAAATTTCCATTTTTAGGATTCTGAAATCAATTTTTCAACATTTTGTTGTAGTATGAATTTTCGTGAGTATTTAGTTATGTGTAGATTATTTTCCACAAGTAATAACAACCGAAAAACTGTTGTTGGTATTTATAATTCCTACATAATTTTCTTCTGGATTTTGTTGAAAACTATCAATTAAAATTATAGTATTGACGTATCTATTTGAAAGTATTATTGTTCAAGTATATTGGTGTTCTAAAATATGATTACTTATACTAGAATAACTTGAAATTAGTAATCATAATTTCTTGATGATTATTTCAGACAAACATAATAAATAAATAGAAGTTTTCTATTCATTTATTAATTTATTATTATGTGTCTAATATTATTATATATCTATGAAATAACTATTAAGAAGTCTTAAACCTTTATCTATACTTTAAACACAGTTTTCTATATCCCCACTTTAGATGATCTTACATATTTAGAAAACTTTCTGTAAGTCGCATATGAACTAAAGGATGAGATCATATGCCCGACGTATTGGACGGTGGACATGAAGATTGGAAAATATATACTGAATATAAGTTGAAGATGTTAACAAATTCGGGGAATTTTACAGAGAAAGAAAACGTCTTCTTAGGTAATTCTTGAAGGAAACATAATATTGGTTGAAAACAAAAGTGGTGATTTGATCAAGCAATAGGGGACAAGAATATACTGGTGATTTAATTTATAAAATTCATGCTTGTATATACTGGTGATTTGATAAAGAATGCGTTGATTTAATTTATGATTTACTGGTGATTTACCCCTCGTCGCTTTTAATGAATAGGGATTATTACCATATTTTACTAAAACTGAGCAGCTCCATGGGTGAGAACTCCTGCTGTAAAGGTCTTACCTTTATCAGTGCTTTGATTTTTTTTTTTTATTTTTTTTTTCATTCTCCTATGCTATCTATATGATTCATTTGAATTCTTTGCCCTAACTTGGGCGACGACTTGGTTTGNTGAGTTATAGTTTTTTTTTTTTAGTTTGCAGTATGTTTATTAAGTGTTTGCTGTAGTGATCAATTTGATCCTGCAATTAACTACACCACAAGGGTAGAGAGAGGAGTTAATTAGTAGAAGAAATGTTTATTAAGAATTGTTGCAAATGGTTTTCGGGTTGTCATTGGATGTTTTAATTTCAATATTTATAATGAGAAAATGCGACATGTTCACCGGGAACTACGAAGACGTATATCCAATTCAATGTACATCTTTGAGTGTTTGCTGATTAGTTGAAGTTCTACCGATTTTTTTAGGTAGTATTGCACTTTAAACATGTAGCGTTACTTTCTTTGTAGGATACTCGCAAAGAGACAATCGGTTGCACGTTCGCACGATACACGAGCGAGCTCGAGCAGAAAGTTCAGACTCTTATGGTATTGAGTTGCCTTTATTTCCTGTTTTTCTTTCATGGTATTGAGTTGGTCGGAAAGTTGAGTGCCAAAAACATGTAGCATGTGATCGAACTGGGTCTCGTCACATTTCGTTTAAGGGCTTCCTAGTGGGTGATTTTTCCACCGGAATAGTTGCTTCTTCTTCCTTTGCGTTTTAAATTGGTGAAGTGTTGAAGCTTCAAGTGCCAAGTAATGGGACAAAAAAATGCAAAGAAAGGGCTTAGACCAATTTTTATAAATACGATCTCAGAGCACATGCATGAGAAATTGTCTCAATTTCACAATCAGCTTATGTATTATGGAATTTAGGGACTCAGTTTTAGACAATTGAATTTGTTCTTTTTGGCGATTAACTGTTTTGAATTGTACAGATTGCAAGCTACTACTTTCAAATGAAAACGTGGGCTCAACTTCCCAGTTCTCTCCGTCAGCACATTTATTTTTGAACCAACACCAACAGCAGCAGTTTCAATGCCAAATTCCTGCCCGAATAACCCTAGGCCGGGTGGGCAGGCCGGAATATTTCTCAGGATTTTTAGTCAGAGGGCTTGACATAATTAATGTGACCATCTTTGTAGAACCAAGAAGTCATACCCAAGTAGGCTACTGCATATAAGGGGAAAAGTTTATACACATATTATAGCATGCAGCTGTGATGATGTCTCTTTATTGACCTAAATATGTTTATCTACATAGGGTGTGAAGATTATGTTATATGTCCTGTAGTGATATGTTACTTTAGATTTTGTGATATATATAGAAATATAATGAAGAGTTTTCATGGTAGTCTAACAAATGCCACTTTAATAAATTAGTGACAGTTAACAGGTGATGTAGCGCCCACTTGCTATTTTAAAGAAAATTCTAATATTTTCTAAGTTATAAAATCTGAATTTCTTTTTTTCTCGGGCAGCTACTAAAAATTTTCTTTCTTTTTCTATCTTTTCTTATCTTGCTCACTGAAAACTACTAACTCTTTTCTTTCTCTTTTCTCGACCCAAAACTAGCTAAGGGTCTACAGAGAACTAACTCTCATAATGTATTTAAGACATGCAGAGATCTCGAACATGAATGCATAATCTTAAAGATCAAGTCTCATATTTCTCTAATCAGAACAGTGCAAACCAATCCAAAATCACAAAACACATGGAATGAAATACTAAGTCTGCAAAAGAGTTCCGAAAATAAACTCAATAAAATGAGTAAGTGACCACCACACGCTGCCCTCCAGTGTCGCCGTCCAGTTGCTCAACCTGAAAAGGATAGTTGTGGGGGATGAGCAAAATAAACCACGTGCTCATCTTTAGCCTATAAAATACGGACATTCAAAATAAGCAACGGATACCTTGTAAGCAGATATGACACACAAATAATGGTCCCTCACCCTACTATGGTGCATCTAGAGTTCTTGTAGCCGTCTAATAGCCGAAACTCACATCGTCTTATGTCACGCAGCCCCTCTCAGGTGCTAGCTAACATACGACATATCTCATACAAAAGAACAGTCATCTAAGGTTCACAGCATAAGATCAGCCGTCTAATAGGCGATCATAGCAAAAGAAAGGAAACACAGTATTCATGCACATAAATACAAACAAAAATACCACAGTGATTATAGAGAATGATGTATTAGATACTTCCCCACCTGCCTTCTAGAATCTGCTGAAGGATGAGTGAGTGCTCCGGTAAAAAACTTGAGGGCTCAACTCCTCGAGATCTACATCAATGAAGCATACTCGAATAAATATTCTAACTCTTATTTTGGTAAGCTAATTTACCAATTTGAAGGATTTTTTAGCTTAAGGTTCACGACTTAACTCTTCTCTTTCTTAGATGTAGGAACTCTCGACTCGGACTTGTCAAAAACTGGAAAACTACCTTCTGAAACTCAACTTTGGGACTCGGCTCAAAAATTCATGAAACAGGCTCGGAAAACTTTTAAAAATATTTGTAAAATAGCCCGGGACATTAAAACATTTTTCAACTCATTTTGAAATGGTTCAGTACGGCTCAAATTGGTCCGGGTGCGGCTAAGCGCTCTATGGCTCGACAGCGGCTGAGCTGCATGGCCTTGCGCCTGCACGGGGACTACTACTGGCTACTGACTGCTTAGTGCATTCTGGCACTAGAAGCACGCACTTTGCCACTGGGGACAACTGGGCATGGCTTGCTGGTCTTTGGTAAATTGTAGACAGTCTGGAGCTGCGAGGCGCCCGCGCACGAAAACAGACAGCTAGGGCGTGGCACAGGTCAGTGGTGCAGGGTCTCGTGGTTCTCAGCGTACCTAGCATGCGGCGTCCCACACACTAGTACGCGAGTCGCCTACGAGTCTTACGCAGACACAACGACTGATGTTGTTGTCATCCAGCACAGCGACGTCCGTTTTCGACAACTCCCTTGCTTATCCACAACAACTCAAGACCAGTCTAAAATGGTATTTTTAGGCTATAATAATTTTTACAAAACCAAATTTCCTCAAAATAATTCGAAGGCATGGAATACCAAATTTTCTCAAATATTGCTCACAAAATAACAGAGGTTTTAAACTTAGCAAAAAAATCTCATCTCTTTAATCTCAGTTTCGAAAATAATCAAGGTCTCAACTTAGGCTAATAAATTTCGAATAAAGGCTGCTACATCTTTCGAATCTTTCAAGGCCAAACCATGGTAACTAAAATTGATTTTTTACTAATTTTCCAAAAGCACAAAACGGGCTTTTTCTCACCAAGTACAAAAGGTCATTATAACTCAATTTTCCTAGGCTACTCAACATAACATTTATCTCACAAAACAAAGGCTACGGCTTAACGAAGAATCGAGAGTCCAACATCATCTTATACTTCATAAAATCACAACAGTCTTACATTTCAAGAGATTTCAATATGAACCTCAAGCATTTATAATCTTCAAACAACATAAACGACTAAGGAAGGGATTCCCGACTCACATACCTCCTTCGGAAGACTACAAATAAAGGTCGAAGGAGGTTCGGACAAAACTCGGGCACACGCAGCTCGACTATGCTGCGATGGTCTCGGTTCGGTGACGTACGAGCTCGCGGCGAGAAGGACTGCTGTGCGCCGTTGAACGAAGGCCGACGAGAATCTATTGCTACTTCTTCTCTTCGTACGGACTGTCGACGTGAACTGACGGGATCTACGGGCCTCCGGCTGCTACTAGCGACGGCGGAACTTGATGGTACAGCTGTGGTGAACCGCCGGTGAAGGTTGTGCTGGGCGGATAGCGAAGGGGGTGAAGGGACTCGCCGGAAAGAACTCGAAGGCGATACAAGGGGCTGAGATCGAGTAGGTTTTGGCTCGGATTTTCTGAGATTTTTGGGTCTGAGATCGAGTAGGTTTTGGCTCGGATTTTCTGAGATTTTTGGGCGAGATTTGATCGAAGGAGAAAGGGCTCTGAACTCTGTATCGCCGACTCGAGGGAGAAAAATATTGGGCTAAATTCTTACAACGTTTGTGACGAGCTTATTCTCGCAAATTGGGCCGAAATAATATGAGAAAATTACTCCCTTAACGAGAGCTTCAAAACTTTATTTTAAGAAAACGAAACAGGAAAAACTTCTACACATTTACGAGATATAATTGATTTAAAACAAAATCATGTAGAAAACGGGATTGACAGACCAAAACCCCAAAACTTTTACACCTAACCCCCTCTTCTTTCTTTTCCTTTCTTATCATTCTTCCTTCGCACAGAGAGACCAAAACCCTAATTTGTTTCCCATTTTTTCTCAAACTCTTTTCATCCACACAACTCAATCCAAAATCGACAGCGACGACCGAGATAGACTGTCCGTTGTTGGCGGGGACCGTGGCTCGACGGCTCGATTGAAGGCGTGGGTAGCCGCCGACAACATTTAGAGGCAGAAGACTTGGCCATATGAAGCAGAAGGAAGAATCGAAGCCAAATCTCCGGCCGACATCCACCGCCATATGAAAGAAGACTTGGCCATACAGATCGGACGATCGCCACTTCACATCCCTCGACGGGTGCTGATCGTGGCCGGTGGACGGCTTGCGATAGGGCGTGGGAAGTAGTCTGCGCCCCAGATCGATGATGCGGCGTTCTATTCCAGAGGTCGCTGATTGTCACACGGCTGCACAATTGAAGACTCGGCTCAGAGACATCTCCTCGTCTCCCAATCAGAAGCAACGTCGAAGATGCGTCGGGGCTCGTTGAGGAGATGAAGGGGTGGCGTTGGGAGTAGTGAGATCAATCAATCTTGTTTCAGAGTTGTTTATATGTTGTTTATCTTATATATAACTATACGTTTTTCAATAGAGAATTATCAAATTATGTTTATCTGATGTATATAGAATTGTTTATATGTTGTTTATCTTATGTATAACTATACGTTTTTCAATAGAGAATTATCAAATTATGTTTATCTGATGTATATATACAGTATAACTAAACATATATTTGGTTCAACATGTTGTTTATCTTATATATAACTATACGTTTTTTAATAGAGAATTATCAGATTATGTTTATTTGATGTATATATACAATATAGATAAACATATATTTGGTGGTTGGACGAGTTTTTTTTTTCAAATTCACGATGTCGATTAACCGAATTCTACCGAATTTTTTCTATTCTTAATCGGGATCGTAGCTTTTTTTTCAATGAACAACTAGATGGACGATTGTTCTTTGGCAATCTCGTTTCAATTTCCTGAATCCCTAAATTATAGCTATAAGATTTTTTTTTTTCCTTTGTTGCTGCAGTTTTTTAGCCGTAAATAAGGGATGGAGAGAGAAAGTACTAGCGCATCTCGTATATATGTAATAAAAGCCCCATGAAACACCAAGTTTGATGAAAGTTTAATTGGAACGTCTATCTGTAAATATTTATTATGAGGAGTCTACATGTGTAAATTCCCCAAATAATATAAGAGCCTAAAGGGCCGAAAATAATAGCTAATAGGCCAAAATAAATACAAGGGCCGATTATACTCAATCAAAGGGCCGAAAATAAGCTTATAAAGGCTGAAAATGTGAGGCTAAAATTTGTCTCGATAAATTCTAAGGAGTCGAGAGGCAATAAAATTGACGAAACCAAAATCGGACTAAAAACGGCTTCGACAGCTACTAAAATAAATAAATCGAATAAAATCGAATAGCTAACGAATATTCGATAATTCTAATTTAAATAGACACTAATGTCTACATAAATTATTTCTTTTAACGGATTAAATAGACGCTAACGTCTAATTAATTCCGAAGAACTTGTCGAGCATAAAAAATTTAAATGCAACTAACTGCATAAATAAAATAGATAATTGAGATGTCACTATATTCAATTGGGCACTACAGGTGAAGCCCCTAGAGATAGATGACTTGGTCCAACCTCTGCTTGTAATGAAAATTTTTCAGAAGATTCTAATATGTATCATTTTTAAACCACTTTCCTGTATTTTAAGCACATAAATTGAAAATTTTTCAGAAGATTCTAATATGTATCATTTTAAACCACTTTCCTGTATTTTAAGCACATAAATTGTCAGCNCAATTGTAGGTGATTCATCATCTAATGAGAAGCAATCATTGAATTTTCATAAAAAAAAAATAAAAAAAACAAACTTTTTTGGGATATTTTTACCGTTTTTGGGATCTCGTAAACTATTTTTGGGGTTAAAAAACCATTTCTTGGGATTCCAGAAACGACTTATGGGATACTCCAGAAATCGTTTCTTCTGGTTTCAGAAATCATTTCTGGACGATTTCTAGGATCCCAGAAATGATTTCTGGGACACCACTTCTGGGCCCACAAATTGTGGGACCAAAAATCATTTTTGATACCAGAAAAGATTTCTGGGACCCATCTGGGTCCCAGAAATTGTTTCTGGGAAATCATTTCTGGAACCTAAGAAATAATTTCTGAGACCAGTAATCGTTTCTGAAAAAGCAGATATCGTTTCTGGGATCCCAAAAATAATTTCTACAACTAGAAATCGTTTTGGAATCCATACATCGATTTGTGGGAAATTTTTTCTAAAAAAAAATTAGATAGTAATGGTATTTTTGTCTTTTTAGTTGCCAAAATGGCTAAAAAAACATGTTTTACCAAATATGGCTAAAATTTGTATGTGACATTTCAAAATGGCTAAAAAGAATCACTAATATAACAATACATATATATATATATATATATTATAAATAAAATTTGTTATACTATATATTGTTTATAAAATTTATGTAATTATTGTTAACAAATCGAATATTCAAATATTCGAATTGAGTCAAAAAAATTGTTTTGTTTACAAGCCTTAGTAGAATAACTAGTTTGTGGAACCCTACCCACTTCTCATAACAAAACATAGTTCACAGCTATTTGAATATTAAAGAGGTGCTCAGAAATTAGGGGAAAAAATAGTATCCAACTACTACAATTTAGAGTGGACCAACAGTATCCCAACCTTTAACAGTGAATTCTTTTTAGCCATTTTGAAATGGCATACATAAATTTTAGCAAAAACATGTTTTTTTAACCATTTTAATATCTAAAAAGACAAAATACACTTACTATCTAATTATCTTTAAAAAAAATAAAAAATGTTCTAGAACCAGAAATCAGTCTGGGATCCATAATGCTTGGATACAAAAATTATCCAAAAAATTCAAACACTTTTAACTCAACCACTTTTTCTAACTCAACCCAACAAATATTAATATTATTAATATAATTAAATAATATCAACCAATCATTCTTGCACGTCACACCAACCTTAATTCACTATTCATCCTCTCACATAATTTTAACTAACCATCACTTCAAATCATTTCTCTCATACTTTTACATTAAATTAATTTTAATTATTTTATTTTAAATATTATTTTAATATATCACTAACAGTTAACCATACCACCTTTTTCAAAATTAATCAAACCAAACAAAAAAAGTCCAAACAAATCCAAAATTTTTTGTATCCAAGCATATGGTCCCACAATCATTTCTAGTCTCAGAAATGACCTCTGGTCCAGAATCGTGAAAAAAATAGATGGGGTTAATTGTGTAACTTTATATGTCAAAATGACTAAATTTCATCTTTTACAAAACATGGCTATTCATATTTTCATCCATTGTCATCAATTTGTGGAGAATTCACGAAATGATTCACTTTACCTCATCTACCTCTCTTCCTTTCAGCTATCTCAAGAATGAAATTACCAGAATTTCATGACCGCATTCAGTGCAGCCTTCTCTAAAGATAGATAAAAAGGTACCACTTTTTTTTAATTAACTCTCTAATGGCTGTATTTGCCGAAGAATTTCTTTTGCTGTTATGTTATGTGAGTAGGTTTTAGCTTTTTTGTAGGATTTTGTGGCTTTTTTGTAATTATTGGCTTTCTTTCTTGTGCGAATATTTATTGCAGCTCTAACTGGCAATGAAACTCCAAAGGCAATCTTGCCTTAATACAAGAAGAATGTTGTTTTCTGATTCTTGGGGGATTGAGAACTGGATAGATTATTGAACTTGTGATTTGATGCAACTTTAGTGGTGAAAATCGACATCTATCGATATCACGGCAGCTAAGGGTTAGATGGGTCGGCCCTTATACTTGTTCAACAGAAATTTATCCTATGTAGTCAGAAGAATGCACGCATTTTGGTTGTGTTTTAGTACGGGAGTTGAAGTAAAGAGTAGGGATCACATTTTGTATGAATATAATCAAATGCTTGAAGAGTATGTTCTAAAAAGCTTTCCTTGTTATTAATTTTGTATAATGATGTTCCTGTTGTGAAAAAAAGATCTCTCATTGTAGTAGTTTCTTGTTTTCTTAATCCGTGCTAACAGATAGTTGTGTTCTTCATCTACTTTTGATTTTCGATTTTTCTTAATGTACTCTACATCAAGAATCTAAATTTCAAGAAATCCAATTTTTATGTCTGCCAAATAGGATTCATTGATATGGTCCACAGTTCACTGTACATGACATGTAGCTTTCTAAGTAGTTTATTACATTCATCCAACTATAATCCTAAATACTTTGCATCATCTATTATACGGCTTACCAGGGTATATGGTAGACTTTTACAAGTATGCATTGCAAAATCAATCAACACAACCGAAGAACTTCTGCTATGCCATTAAGCTTGATGAGAAGCTCTTCGGAAAAAGGTAAAATCCTGTCTTCTCTTAATATTTCCTGTACTTTGAAGTTGAGTAGATCGATTTCTCACATTATTCGAAGAAAAAAAAAACAGCTGATATTATATGCATTATCTTTCATGCTGTTCTAGTAACCAAGGAAATGTTAGACGGGTCACCGCCCCATTCTTCAAACACGACTAACAGGTTTCCACTTGGCTTTAGCCACGAACGTGGGATATGATACCTAAATCACCAAATCTTATTAGATCCTCATTATTTTTTTTTTTTAATTTTTATCGTAAATAATTGAAAAAAAGAAAAAAAAAATGTCTCACCATCTCTGAGATGGCTGGTCACAGCCCCTCTGGCATTTGCTTTCAGAAAACATGCCTGCGTAATTACATTATTTTAGGATTTGTCTCTCGATCGAGTTCTCAAAAGTGTTGTACCTTGTACCACGTTAGGGGTTGCTTTAGAGCCAAAAGGGATCCTTGAACCCATTCGACTGACGAACTTCCGGTAACAGTGTTGAGATTGAGTGATTCACCTTTCAAACCGACCTTTCCACGGACAATTTTTTTTTTTTAAAAAAAAAGAGTGTAAAAAAAGTATTTACTTTTCGGACAATTAGTTACTTTGGTGTTCAAGTACAGATTACAGACCTTATATGACCAGCTCTGTTTTGTTAAGTCTCGTTTACCCTCGTTAAGGCCATTCAAGGTAATGGGACCCAAGACTCCTGTGTTCCAAGTCTCGTAGTGCAAGCCCACATTCTGAAACGGATTAATAAGAATTGAATACGATAAAAAAGCTTAAATTAAGGTTAAATTACCACTAGTGCTATACAAAAGCAGGTTTCAGAAGGGCAAACTCACTGGTAAACCCACAGAAACACTAAGTAACGAGATTTTGTTTGCTCCGGCTCTCAAATTCACATTGCCGTTAAATGTCAGTTTTGTTCTCTCCAGGCTCCCATATACAGTTCCTATACACAGAACCCGAATAAACGAAACTACATGTGAGCCATGGTTATTTAAGCCTTTAAGGGGTTTATTTATTCTAAATGTTTTTAATTCAAACAATGAAAAAGACTAACCTGATAACTGGCCATTGATAAAAACGTGCAGCGCATGGCCTGCTGACATAACTGTTAGAGAAGGCCATTTTCCTGTCTTTAGAAATCTCTCACCAGAATCGATATCGACTCTGTAGCCATCATCACAATATATTTTTAGAAAAAAGTGAGAAAAACGATCAACAATAGTCATTCTTGTTGCTTAAGTAAGGAAAAATTTGTAGCAATGATTATGTTTGTACACTTACTGAGTGAGGTACCATAAATAATCCGAGTTATCTCTTGTAACATTCACTTGTTCCCATAGACCTTGCATTCTAAGTGTATCACTATCATCTGCAGAAGGAGTTTCCTCATTATACGACTGCCAAGATAATCCTCCTTCCATGGGTATCATCTTAGTAGTTGACCCTTTGGACGTAATCTGCAAAATAAAATATTTGCTAGGAATTTATATATATTTTTCCCTAACATTATTTTGTATAGAGATTTCATCTTTGGTTGGATAATTTAAACAGGCTCTTTTTCTTACCCTGGCAGTGTTGTAAACCTCAGTTTTACAGTCGGGTAAAATGCTGATTGACCAAGGAGGTAAATTGTATCGCTGGTTTTGAAATGTCAGTTTAGTGGAATATCTGGTGTCGTAATTGGCGAGAAATGCTGAGCAAGCTCCCGAGTTTGTTCGGAAGACGTGAACCTAAAGGCATGGAGTGAGACACAAATCATTATTTACTGCAGCAGGTAAATTGTAAAATAAGCTGGTTAAAGAGGTGATAATTTGTTGTAGTACTTTTTATTTTTATTTTTTACCTCCTGATTTTTACCGGGCCACGAGACTGTTGGGTAGGAAGATACTAAAGCCTGCTCGCATTGCTTAATTGCCTTGTGTAGATTTGTCAGATGGCTATATTTCGGTTCATTCCTAAGTCCTGGTACATGATAGATAAAATTACATTTATGAGCAATTATCGAGCAAAAGCTATGCTATTTTTCGTAGGATTTATAATCTGTGATTAAAAAATAAATTACCGTATTCATCCAAAGGGGCGTCATAATCATAGCTGGTGGCAATAAAGAGTCCAGATGCTGTCCGGCCAAAGTTCGTTCCTCCATGGTACTA